ATATATATATATATATATATATATATATATATATATATATATATATAGCACCGGCTCGAGGACCCCTTGGAGTCTGGGTACCCCAGTTCGAGAACCACTAATCTATACTAGCCAAAATATATTAATTTATTTTTTAAATCCATCCATCCATCCATCCATCAATTTTACCCGCTTCTTCCTTTTCAGGTCGTGGAGTTCACTAGTGTCCATGTCCTGCAGTCACTGTGCAAGAGGCTGGGACATCCTGGACAGGTCTCCAGTCCATCACAGGGACACAGAGACAAACGAGACAAACTATCATTCGCAAAGACTTAATAACGTCAAGTTTCATCTCTGTTAAATCTGTCATCTGATAAGAGTAATATTCTGGCCTACAGGGCAGAGTTGGTAACATTTGCTATGCTGATGGTCAGATGTCATGATATCGCTGATATTCATTATTTGTACTGTTATAAGTTTGGTAGCTTGAATTTTAAACTTTAAAGTTTTAAGGCCTTAAGTAAAACTTTTAAGGTTTGAAGTAAAGAATTGAAGGCCTACCATACCTTGAAGGAATGCATCATATTGTCCATCACTTGTCATGCCAGCCTTTTGATTTAAAATAGAGCTGCGATTTCGAACCCGGGCCCGGTCCGACTTGACCTGACCCAAAATTCAGTCCAGGTCAGGCCAAAATTAAGTGCTTGATGTGCGGGCGGGGTCGATCTCTGGCTTTGATGCAGTTTTAAAACAGGAGAACTCACTCTACAAAGCCAATACAGTGAAACGTGCAGATGTATGTCAGTTCAGGTGCGCGCAAAGGTCCGATCGACCGGTTGAAAGAGGTAAAAAACAATCATAAGCTTCAGGTGGACAACCGGATCATCAGCCGCATGCGTTCGCTGACCGGCTGGATGGATCATGGGCTGCACGTGTCCCCCTCCACCCTGCTGTTATCTGCAGTGAAGGAAGCAGCATCTGAAACACAAAAGCCAAAGTGAGCAACGTGTTTAATTAAAATAGACTTGTTTTATATTTTTCCATATAATTTTGCTGTAAAAATGTTTTTGTTCATCTGTATAATAGCCTATTTTTAGAGTTCATTTTTTTAGGCTATTTGTCTATGTTAATATCAATTTGGTGACCTCTTAATAATTCAATTCAATTCAAAAATACTTTATTAATCCCAAAGGGAAATTAAATGTTGTTGTGACTCATTATCCTCGTTTCATTAAGAGATGTTATAGTTGCCAATTGCTGTAGACAGGAAGGATCTCTTGTAAAGGTCTGTCCCACTGCGGAGAAAATGGTGGCAGATGCCATTCAATCTGTCCACCCAGACTCGGCTGGGCTCCCGGTTCCCCCGGGCTACAGGACCGCCTGAATGCCAGGCAGAACTCCTCCCAGAGTGATGGCCACTCCTCCCAGCAGTTCCTCGTCATTGCGGAAAGCCAACTGCCGATGTTGGGGGACAATCCCAGTCCTTCTGCTGTCACGAGTCAAGTTTCCTGCCAGTTCCAGGATCTGAGGGGTCAGGCACTTGTGCACAGCTAGCAGGTAGACGGGAATGCATTCACGTAGCCTCCTTTTCAACTCATTTGAGATTTGGGGCTGCAGCTGAGATATCATTTGAGCTTTCGAGAACAAGAATTCTTATATCTCCCTTTCTTTGAAATACGTTTTAAAAACTATCATGTCAAACAGATTTGCTTACAAAAGCAGTAAAAGCTTAATTAAAAAAAAGTTGGTTGTTTTTTCTGGTTCAGGCCTGTAATTAATTTGTAATGTAATTGTTAATTGGTCGGGTCGAACTCAGAAAAAAATGGCTACAGGCTGGGGCCGGGTTGGGTCGGATTTTTTAGGCCTGAATGCAACTCCAATTTAAAATCATTATATGCTGATGATGAGCAGATTTATATTGATATTGAGATCTTGTGAAATGTGTTAGTTCTCCAAAAACATTAATGTGACTCAGTTACCACCATGTCCATTTAACTCAATATTTGTAATATTAAATAAGTTATTGTCTTTTTGTGCTGTTAAGGCTGATTAGCTGTGGTGGACGTCTTGAATATGATTGATAAACATGAATCAATTGATAAAAGCAATGAAATTAATACTTTCTGAAAGTTAATGGAATCCATGCAGTTGTCATGATATATTTTGTAAACAAACAAATACAGCTGACTTTATTGGTTAAAGACAAAATTTGAAAAGCAGATTTTAAGTGATCAGTCTGAACCTGAAGCATGTGTTGGGAATCATTTTCAGTCACTACCACAGCTTAATATCTGTCAAAGTCTCTGTGCTATAGCCATTTATGTGGTTGCTAAATTTGCTTAGCGATGGCTGCCACCTTGAATGGATTCGACTCCAAATGGTAAATGGTTGTCGACCTACATCTAATGATTACTTTCTGAGATATACTCAAATTCATCCACTGCGATAATTTAGTAGATAGACACATGAACTGACATGGGCCAAAACCTTATTCCGTCCTTTCACCTTCAGCAGCAGGTGATAAATATGACAAAATGACAACAGTACAGGCTTTACATTTTTATTTTGATCATTGTTGTTCCTATGTAGGCTTTAAAAATGGTCCATGTGTCATTTAGACATCTCTGTAGTATAAAGGTTAATGCACAGGTGATGGAGCAACAGCCTCGTGAGCTCACTCCTGCTCCTGTATGCATCATCTCTGTCCTCGAGTCATTCCAGCAATGATCCCCGACTTTAATCAATAAAAACATCAAAACATCAGCAGAGCTGCCCTCTTGTTGACTCTGTGTGTCTCTTGTCTCTCCTCCAGAGAAAGTCAGTATGCTGTCAGCATTGATCGCCCCCTTCAAATACATGAGCCCAGGGACCAGCACCGAGGACGAGGACAGTTTAAGTAAGCTGCCGCCTCTTATTCTTTCTGTCAGCACTAATGCTCCAGGAGACAGGTCGAATGGAGAACTCAAATCTGTGTTACTTGTGTGATTTGTTATTTGGGAAACGAGCTCTTTGATTATAAAATCTTTGATTTTTAAGAACAAGGGTGATGTACAGAGTTGTAGCAACTACAGGGGAATTACGTTGAAGATCTGGGAGAGAGTTGTAGAAGCAAGACTTAGACAAGAGATGACTATTTGTGAGCAGCAGTATGGTTTTATGCCAAGAACACCGCATATGCCATCTTTGATTTAAGGATGCTGATGGAGAAGTACAGAGAGGGTCAGAAAGAACTCCAGTGTGTCTTTGTGGATTTAGAAAAAGCATATGACAGAATGCCAAGAGAGGAGGTGTGGTATTGCATGAGGAAATCTGGAGTGGCAGAAAAGTATGTTAGACTGGTACAGGACATGTATGAGGACAGCAGGACAGTGGTGAGATGTGCTGTAGGAGTGACAGATAACTCAAAGGTGGAGGAGGGAGTGCATCAAGGATCGTCTCTGAGCCCCTTCTTGTTTGCTCTGGTGATGGACCGACTAACAGATGAGGTCAAGCAGGAATCCCCGTGGACTATGATGTTTGCTGATGACATTGTGATTTGTGGTGAGAACAGAGAAGAGTTGGAAGAGAACTTGGAGAGGTGGTGGTATGCACTTGAAAGAAGAGGAATGAAAGTCAGCCGTAGTAAGACAGAGTACGTGTGTGAATGAGAGGGAGGCTGGTGGAACAGTGAGGCTACAAGGAGCAGAGGTCACAAAGGTGCAAGACTTCAAGTACTTGGGGTCTACTGTCCAAGAGAATGGGGAATGTGGTAAAGAAGTTTAAAAGAATTTCCAGGCAGGATGGAGTGGATGGAGAAAAGTTTCAGGAGTGATTTGTGACAAAAAGGTGTCAGCAAAGGTCAAAGGAAAAGTTTACAATACAATGGTGAGACCAGCTATATTGTATGGTCTAGAGACAGAGACATGGACAAAAAGACAAGAGAAAGAATTGGAAGTGGCAGAAATGAAGATGTTGAGGTTCTCCTTAGGAGTGACAAGGATGGATAAGTTTAGGAATGAGATCATCAGAGGTACAGCACAGGTTGAACAACTGGGAGATAAAGTTAGAGAGGACACACTGAGATGGTTTGGATATGTCCAGAGAAGGGACAGTGGGTATATTGGTAGAAGGATGTTAGAAATGTAGCTCCCAGGAAAAAGACAAAGAGGAGATACAGTATATGGATGCAGTTAGAGAGGACATGGAGGTAGTTAGAGTGAGGACAGAGGATACAGAGGACAGAGCTGGAGGAGGATAACTCGCTGTGGAGACCCCTGAAGAGGTAAAAGCTGAAAGAAGAAGAAGAAGAGCTCTTTGATTACAAAAGACTGTCATCTTATGGGTTTAAAGCAGAATTTTTTTTTTAAATTGAACTAATAAATGATTAATTTAAATGTTCCTGATGAATAATTTAAACAAATGTGTATTCTGATTTTTGAGCTACATGGCTTCCATCACACCATTAAATTATTTTAGCACTATCCAAACTTCCTAGTTTTATTCTTCTACCATGAGAAATGTGATACACCACCACTTCCCTGTATCGAGATCTGAAGAGTGTTTCACAGCTGCTCAGGCTCAGCTTTTACTGAGGATCGAGTGTGAAATAAAGCAAGCTGCACTCTTTTTTCCATCATCCTTTCTTGGAAAGTCTACCACTCGAAGCAATCCCTGCCGCTCCACCCCCATTGCAAATAGGATTGATGTTCTGCTGTAGCCATGGGGGCCAACGTTTCCTGCTCACGACTCAGCTTCAGAACCAATTTGGAGTCAGATTACAGGATGATTTGGCAGATAACATCACCATTTTAGGGGATTTGTATTTGGTTTTTAAAATACTTACATATAATAGAGCCCTGTGGTACAAAGTGGGCTCAGCTCCGGGAGTTGATTGTAGACGTGTTCATTATGATTTCATTGTGTTTCAAGTGGCTCAATCTGCCTAGAGAGATTTTCCCTGATTCATTTTGTTTAGCCTGGATGAGCAGGACTGTTGCACAATCACACTTTCTGTTCAATTTTTTTGGTGTATTTTTTATCACTTTCATTGAATTGTTCCTGTTTTGTTGTTGTTTGTTGTTGTTTTTTTTCATTGCAGGCACCAGCAGTACGGAGGTTAAGGAAAACCGTAATATTGGGAACTTGGAGGATTCTGGGGAGTCACTTTTCTGCTCCGAGTCCACCAGAAGTGGAAGTTCGGGTCTGAAGAGGAAACGGCCACTGGAGGAAGACAAAAACGGGCACCTGTGTCAACTCCGTCTGATTTATAAGAAACTGTCCTGGTCTGAGGCTCCAAAGAATGCACTCATGCAGCTGAATGAGCTTCGTCCGGGCCTGCAGTACCGCATGGTGTCCCAGATGGGACCGGTCCATGCTCCTGTGTTCTCCATCGCTGTGGAGGTTAACGGACTGACCTTTGAAGGCACGGGACCAACGAAGAAAAAAGCTAAGATGAGGGCAGCAGAGCTGGCACTCAAGTCCTTTGTTCAGTTCCCCAACGCTCCTCAGGCCCACCTGGCGATGGGAAACATCTCAAACCCCTCGGCCGACTTCACATCCGACCAGGCTGAGTTCCCAGACACGCTTTTCAAAGAATTTGAGCCTTCGCCATGCTCCGACGACCTCTCTTTCTGCAACTCAGCAAGCGAGAGTGAGCTGCTGTCGAGCGAGCTACTCAGACATGGACGGCTGCTTCGACACACACTGGACCTCATGGTCCAGGCTCAGCAGAGGCTTGGAGGGATTATTCCAGAGCCTGAGGTTCCCAAGAGTCCAGTGACTTTGCTCAACGAGCTCCGGCCTGGCCTGCGCTACGCCTGTCTGTCAGAGCGAGCAGAAGGACGGAGGTTGCGGAGCTTTGTGATGGCGGTGCGTGTGGACGGACGTATATTTGAGGGCTGTGGACGCAGCAAGAAGCTTGCCAAGACTCAGGCAGCCCAGTGTGCTCTTCAGGCCCTCTTCAACATCAGAACGGCCCCTGAGGGGAGGACTGGCCTCAAAGCCAGCAGGAAGAGTTGCCCTCATTTACCCCAGGTGAGTGGAGACCCATCCCCAGCACCTGCCTTCTGTTAAGCTTCCTTGGCATCCACTCAGCTCCCTACAGAGGCCTGTAATGACCAACACAGCAGGCATGCAGCAAAAATCACAATAAATTCCAACAAGTAATTAAGCTAGAAAAGGCCATGGGAGCTAAAGAAAGGGTAGAAATGGGGAAACAGTGGCAGTAAGCTGAAGAGGAGTAAGAAAACAGGAGTTTATCCGTTGTCAGAAACACAATGTTAACTAGAGGAACTGCATTTCCTGTGTAAATGCAGCGTGAATGCTTATTGCAAAAGAACTTGCTGAGAAACAGCTGAAATTGGCTAAAAGCATGGTGAATTGTAGCTGAATTGGAAGAACAAGCCTAAGTTAGCACAAGAACGCAGAAAGAACACATATTCACTCAATTAGGTATAAATTGGTATAAATGAGCACAAAAGTAGAAAATTAACTATTAAAAAAAAGCTGCAATTATCAAAAAATGTCTGAAAAGTAGCTGAAAGGCAGAAAGATGCTTAAACTATAAAAAGGAACTGGAAAGAGCTGAAATGAACTCAAAAATGTGGAATTAACTGAAAAAGCTAAAATTAACATGAAACAGCTAAATAGTAGCTGAAATAACAGAAAAACCTAAAACTAGCAGAGATAAGCTGAAAGGAGCATAACAAGAAGAAATTAACAGAAAGATTTTAATTAGGCTGAAAGGAGCATAAATTTCTACCAAAAAATTGAATTTGTCTGAAAACAGCTGAAATTAGCTAAAAAATATAAAAAGATAGCTGGAAAAAGTAGAACAAGCTTAAATTAACAGAAGAAACAGAAAGAACATGTGTTTGCTGAAAGAAGAAAAATTGAGTGCAAAATGTGGAAATTATTTGAAATAAACTGAAATTTGTAAAAAAAAAAAAAAAAAAACAGTTGAATAGTAGCTAAAAAGCAGAAAGAGTGGAGAAGTGGAGAGAGCACATTTTTGCTGAATTAGGCTGAAAAAGTTGTAATGAGTGCAAATAAAGCAAAAAGAGCTGAAATGAGCTTAAAATGTGGAATTAGCCAAAAAGGCTAAAATTAGCATAAACAGCTAAATAGTAGCTGAAATAGCAGAAAAAGCTGAACTTGCAGAAATAAGCTGAAAGGAGCATAACACATTGAAATTAGCAGAAAGAAGTTAGAAGAAGCACAAAGATTTAGTTATCAAAAATAATCTGAAAGGAGAAGAAAACAGCTAAAATTAGCTGAATGTATCTGAATAAAAGTTTAAATTTGCAGAAGGAAGCTGAACGAAGCTGAAGCAGAACAAAATGTGAAAGGAGCAGTAAAATGTTGTAAACAGATCTAAAGATGTGAAGGATGGAAAATGAGCTCAATTCATTTTCTGTGAGGAAAAAATATCAGAAAAGGCTAAATGCTTCAAAAAGCTAAAGTTGCACCAGTACCAAAAAGTCATAGCAGAATTTTCCTGAAAGAGCTGAACATTTTGATTTATGATTTGTTGAACTAACTTGAAAACTACGGGAAGAGAATCAAAAAATATACGGAAGAAAAATGGACCACAGTGAATGCTTGTATTAAAATGAATGTTGTAGATTAGTGTGCATCACGTAGGCTCTGCAAAGCAGGATCCTGGTAAATAATATCTGTTTGTTGGGCTGTTTAAATAGAAAAACAAGTAAATGAAGCTAATTACTATCTGGGTGACTCTGACTGCAGAACTCTCTATAATAACCCAAATGATTTTTTTCTCTTGTGTTTGCAGAGATGCGATTGTGAAGGTTTTGTAATTTTGCAAGATCTGTTTTCTCATGTGTGACATCACAATGTCTACAAACCTTAATTCAATCTGTTGCCCAAAGGAAATGGAAAAGCAAAGAGCAAATCCACAAACAAACCGCTGAGACCAATCCTGTGCTCATTTAGCCAAATATTTAAATGGGAATCAGAGCGAGGAAACTGGTTCTGAAAAACTGGGAGTGAATTGTAGAGCCTGAAGGTTTGGCGGCTGGACTGGCTGCTCTTGTTGACAGATATTCCTGCTGAACTTCATCTCAGTTACACAGTTTCACTCAAAATGAGTGCATAAATGATTACATTAATACGTATTTAATGAAAGCACCATATTTCTGTCTCTATCACAAATACGACTGGCTAAATAAAACTTTACGGTTCAAACAGATTTACAATAAAAACATCATTCAACATTTAAATGTGCCGCAGAAAGATGGATTTGGAATGACTGAACTGGGATATTTATTTATGTTTTTATACGTTTGCACTTTAAGTTTTATTATATGTGAAGGTTTTACCTCACAATGGTCCGCTTTCAAAAATGTTGCCAACAAAATCTTCTTAATGAATATTACACATTTTATTCATTTTACTCGTCTCTATTTTGACATTTTTGTTTTCTTATCTCTCTCACGACTGAATAACTTGTTTGTGGGTTTTTTTTTTTGTTGTTTGTTTGTTTTTTCTCAAATGCCCTCCAGCTCCAACTATCATTGACTCCCACTGTATCTGTGCATAGATTGTTTTCAGAACTGGAAGTGCTGTGTATTACTGTTATTTAACCAGTCAAATCCCACTGAGATCACAGATCTCTTCTGAAGGCAGCCTGCATCATTTTGGACAGTGGGAGGAAACCCACACAAACACAACAACATGAAACTGCTCACAGAAAAAACAAAGTCCAGGTCAATCAGGGGATTGAACCCAGGCCCTTCTTGTTGTGAGGTAATAGTGCTAACCACTAAACCAGGGGTGCCCAATATATCAATCTGATCTACTGGTTGATCTTAAAGGTATTCTGGGTAGATGGCATGGTGTTAAAAACAGACATCTGTCATCATCTATGAAATTTGTCTGTTGATTGACAGACAGGGCAGCCAGTCTGAGGCCCCGTTTACACGACGTGAAACTTTTTTGGCCGTTCTTTTACAGACAACATCCTCATTCTCTCTGAGAGATTTTCAGGGGAACCCCCCCGAGATATGAAATGCTCCAAGTGTGAAGTGGCACATGCACACTACAGGCGGCTGCAGTCCAAAGTTTTTCTGCTCTAACAACAGTTATAATAAATATAACAAGTTATAATACAAATATAACAAGTTATAATAAATAACAAGTTATAATAAATGGCAGAGAGCAGATTGTTTTTGTGCTGCTCACACTTTTTCAACATGTAGGAGCAAAACTAATAAAATCCAGGCTCCAAAGAGACGCGAGTGTGTTCACCAGTTTGGAACAGAGTTGCATTTGGGTACAAAAAATTTGACCCAGCCCGTAGCCATAATTTCCGAACCCCACCCAATCCAATGAATTAACAGTAATTACGGGTCCAAACCCGACATGTTTAGTTAAGCTTTGACTGCTTATATAGTTTTTAACGGTCGGCGGACGCACGTGGCTGAGTAAAATGGGGCAGCTGATCGGAGCTGAGGGGGTGTTTGTCATTTCATGGCCGTCGAAGTGCATTAAATGTTTCCCCTGTTTCTGCCTGCATTCTGCATTATTCAGACACGGACCCTGCTCTATGTCAGATATTTTGTTATCTCACCTGTTTGGGTTGGCCTCGCGCGTCAGCTGAGAGAGGGCTGAATGAATGTCCATTTGGGCTTTGATGGATCGCTGCCTGGCAGTAGTCCATCTGAAGCTTAACTAAACTTTTTTTTAAACTTCTTTCAACCAGCTGGCCGGTCAGCGCACGGTCAAATGGCTGCGTGTGGCTGGTGGATGTATGGTAAGCCATGTCGCCATATAATTGGATCATCAGCCATGTGCATCCGCTGACGCAATCAAAAGCCCGACCCCCCCCCCCCACACACACACACACACACACACACACATACACACACCCCACATCCGGCACTATATTATGGCCCGGCCTGCCCCAAATTCAGGTTGGGCCAGGCCGGGCTTCGGGTCTGGGTTAGAAATGACAGCTCTAGTTTGGACGTAACTGTCATACAGACACTGCATACGCAATGAATGCAGCTGAGCCCTGCATAAGGGTTGCCAGATAAAATTAAAATGTCTTATTTACCCCTCCTTTTCTGTGCACATTCAACAAACACAACGCACACCTCATCTTAGAATATCTTTACTCAGCACATATGACAGTTTAGGTTAAAATACTATCATTTTAAAGCCACAGTACTATAGTTCATAATTTCTTATCTGGAAACCTGAATAACAGAAATTACAGGGTTTTCTTGTACACCCACTCATTTTTTGTTTATTACCCCCAGTAAACAATGAAAAAACACTAACGTTTCCTGAGGTTGTTCTGTGTAAACAGGGCCTTATAGCAGGTACATCACTTTGACTTGGTCATTTTAAAAGGAACTGCATGATGAAAAAGTCTGGACACCCCTGACCTAAACCATCATGCTGCCCAACATAACCTGCCATATTGTATAGGCTACACAAAACATTGCAAACAGAAATTTACAAGTTAACCATCCAACATTTCTACCACTTGGGCTTCAAGAACATTTTCAAAATATGAATAGTTTTAAGCTGGGACTGAGACAGCCAGAACGCTTTTTTGTGCCGACTTAAAGTGTTTTTAAAGACTCATTTCTGTACGGACCAAGAGGGCGCATCTAATACAAGACAAGTGATTTGTGAACAGTAAAAAAGGCAGCTTCAATATGGGCTAGTTTTTGGGGCTATTTTGCATTTTTATGAAAGTGTCTTACTTAAAATGTGTTACACCATTACAGTTACAGTTTGCCTAAAGCATGCTTTCTTAGTTTGGTTTCTGTCTACCTGTCTTGTTAAGAGTGCTGCCAGTGAGCAAGAGATACAGAAGTGTGGTTACCATGGTGACCCTGATGAGAGACTGGCAACAGTCACATCATCTTAAAAAAAACCTCTTCTGTTCATGCTTCTTCTACAGTTTAGACATAAAGATGACAATACTTTGTCAGCTTAGATCATTACAGAAGTTACTCCCAAACTTTTATTGAGCTTTGGAGATGAAAGTTCATGGATGTTGG